TTTCTAAAGCCAAACCAAACAACTGTTGGAAATATTCTAGTGTAGTGGTAAAAGTCCCATATCGGTTAGAAATGAACGGAGTCAGGACCATTGGGTTAAAGAATAGAGAAGAGGAAAAGACAAAAACTGTATCAATCTCAAACTGTAAAACACAATTTAAACGAAAGATAGATCAACAAGGTCCCCAATCTCGCCATTTTAACCCCTAATCAAGCTGGGCTTCAGGCTCTACAAATCCAATCTAAAATAAAAGGAAATAAAACAAAAGTCATGGTTCTAGGCCTCATGTACATTGGGCTCATAATTACAAAATCAAGCCTAATTAATCACATAAATTACAGCAATTCGTGTCAGACTTTGGCTTCAATTTGACTATTTTCTTGTCTAAATTTGACTTTCAAGTCTCAACATTTGTAGCACTCTGAATTATATGCAAAATGGGATAAGAATGAGATTAATCAAACACCTAGAACAAAAGTTATGATCAAAATACTGGAATAATGTAAATCTAGAATTTTAGGATAAAAACGAATTAAAGTCAATTAAAAGCCCAATATACAATTCAGTCCAAAAGACTATTACTTACACACTAAACAATCATAAATTATTAATTAAGAGTAACAAATAAGTGTAATAAATTCATTTATCAAATCCCTCCACACTTATCTTTTCTCACTTCTGAGCAAAATTAAAATTGGAAACAAAGTCAAGGAAATGACAAAATAAAATTAAAGACTAAAAGATAAATCAATCCTTTCTAATAATTGCCAAGCTTCAAAAGATCAATCGATCAAGAAAGAAGTTCCTTCATCTCAAATTAAAAAACGTGTAGTTTCATTTGATAATGCTAATCACGCAAAATGGTCTCTCAAGGGATACTCTAAATCAATTTCTCAAGTTTATGGGGTAAGCAGGTGTATCACTCAAATTCCACTCAAGAAAATTGTCGTACCATAGGCTTGCTCAAGTTCTACTTCTTCACCACTTATAACACATGCATCCATAAATCAATAGGGCTTTTTATTCAAGTTTGTAATGGGGAGGGTGAGGGTATGGATGACTATGGGAATGAGAGGCTAAATACCCAAGAAATTTAAAAGAGCACTGATCAAGAACTAAACTAAAGGAACAAAATTAAAACAAAGATAATGACTAGTAAAGAATACAAAATAACTCAAATAGAAACATTTTTTATTTCTTTTCTATTTTTTTTTGTTTTCTTTTGTCAATTTAACAATAAAGAATGGCAGAATATAAAATGCATCCCCCCACACATAAAATGTTGCACGTCTTGGGCAACCCTGATACTTAAACAAACTTCTAAAGTGAAATCAGTACTCAATAAATTTCCAAGGTGTGGAAATATTCAAGTGTGAGTACTGGTGTGAAGTCCCACAATGGTTGGACAAAGACCAAGTGAGAACCATATAAGTGTAAAAGACCCTTAAATCTCCAACCTTAAGGTTTAGGATTGTGTCATGATATCAAATTCACTTGCTACGTTTGATGTAGCCTTAGTCTATTGGTGGTATTCCTTCGCCATGGGCTCCCCCTGTACCAGCCTGACAATAGTATCAGAGCTAACAGTTTGGCTGGGCTGAGCATTTGGACATGCAATTGAAGAGGCCTCCACAGAAGGCTAATGTGACTCTAATACTTAAAGAGAAAAGACTTCCGCAGTAATTGCCCTTAAGGGAGAGAGCATGATATTAAGCCTTATACTTGAGGGGGAGGATGTTGGAAATATTAAATTGTGAGTAGTGATGTGAAGTCCCACAATGACTGGACAAAGACCAAGTGAGGAGCATATAAATATAAAAGACTCATAAACCTACAACCTTAAATCATATCCGCCACGAGCTCGTCTAGGACCAACCTAACAGCAACAACCTCCAATTTCTGGCATAATTGTGGGTTTATAGTTCAATAAAATAGGAGTTATTCAAATTACAGTTTTGTTGTAACATTAAGCCCAGACAAATAAGTCTAGACTCAACTTGGTAGCAGAAGATGCTTATATGCTATTGGAATATCTTGTACACAAGGAAGAATAACCAATCCTATGTAGTCTCCGTCAAGTTTGATGATCTATGATAGAGAGCAGTACTACAGTACCAGAGTACTGTGTTAATGATTCGGTAGTTAAATGAAAAATAGATCATTTTAAGTTCAATTTGCTGCAGCTAAAAAAAAATACCCATAAAAAAGGGCAAGTAAAGTAATATACATCTTAAGTTATAAAATTTATTTAATTCATCGTTACTTCATTTGACTAAACTACTAGAGAATCCTAATTCGCCTTTTGCTATTGCCATCATTCCCAAGTGGCCCTCACTTCGTAAAAAGTTGATTGACTTCACATTTTGCTTTTGGTATAACATGACATAAATATCAGCGCACAAACAAATTAAAGCGCTCTTGGAAGATGCCGTTTACCCAGTCTTAAGTTGTCACTGGTTCAGCTTAGTCTTGGGGCACTGGTCTACGACGTTAGCTAGTATCCAAAACGAACAGAGACAGAAATTGACATAGCATCTATACATGACCCTTAACCAAATTATTCACTCACTCTCTCCTTGTCGTTGGTTCTTTCCTTCATCAAACGCATTCATATTTGGTGGCGTTTATAAACGAGAGCTCCTATGATTGTAGGAGAAGAAGAGAAAGGAGAAGAAGAAGAAAGACATGGCTAATTGTAGTTCGAAGCCACCGATGTCGTCAATGAAAAACCACGGAGAAACTTGGCTCCTTTCACGTGGCCCCACCACATGTTACCAGGTATTCAAGTATGGTCCAAGCGTGCGAATTGGAAGGCTCGGTTGCAGTTGTATTTCAAGGTTAGAGATGAGAAAAAAGACAGAGTTAGCGGGGATAGGGTGTTGGTGTGACCATAGTAGTGGTGTTGAGGAATCAGATGAGGAGTTTGTGAAGGTTCTCCGGGAAGTACAACCATATATGTTTGTGCATAGGAAAAGAGTATTTGTTGTTGTCTTGTCTGCAGAAATTGTTGATAGTCCTTATTTGGATGACACTCTCAAGGTACCACTTCTCTGCCTCTCTTCACACACACACACACAAATCTTTTCATTAGGCATGAGGGTTCAGTAGCTGAAATTGGTTGGTTTTGTATATTTGATTCAACATGTCGAGTTCAGAATCAAAGTCTTATTAAAGTTAAAGCTAGAATATTGGCATCGATTCTACTTGCATGCCGAAGGAACTTTTTGCTACTTGTATAGTGCTAACAAGAAACGTCTTTTGAGTGAGGGATATATTTGAGTGAGGGATATATTTGGAGCCTATTTGGATTCTCTTACTTTTAAGTTAGAAGCTACTTATAAGCTAAAGTTAAAAAAAAAAGAACTTAAAAAAAGAAGCTAAAAGCTGTTTGAAAATTACATAAAAATTTTAGCTTAAACATTACTTAAAAACACATATTTCAAGAAAATTATCTCTCTCTATCTTTATCACTCTTCATTTTTTAAAAAAGCACACAATTAAAAAAAAAAAACAGATAAGAGCTTAAAAAAAAGTTCTCCCATGAGCTTTTAGTTTTTAGCTTTTTTCTTTATTATAAAAAAAAGAGCTTTTCATTATAAGAGTTTTTGTCAAAACCTGTTTGACCTAGCTTATGCTTATAAGTAGCTTCTAGCTTAAAAAAGAGAGGATCCAAACAGGCACTTGGTGCCAGTATCATCTCTTTTTTAGCTTCTCTTCTGTTTAGAAGCAAATAAAAGAAAAATGGGGCTTTGTGACCATGTACAACAAAATGAATAAGTATTCATCGATTTAATTCTTTCCAGGTTTATCAATCTAATAATATTAAAAGAGGTATATTTTGTCCGGGCACGGCGTGTAAGTCGCTTCTATTTCATGTGTGATTTTTATAAAAATTAGTGCCTGCCTGTTATGTGTTGTGTTCAATGAGACGCACATCACTCCTCTCATGCTAGTTCAAGTAGCACACTTCATTTATACACATGCAAGATATGCAATGACATGCGTATGTTGGCTTTTTTGTGCAAGTTGCGCATGTGATGTTGCATATTTTTTTCGCATTACATAGGGAAATTGTTTTTCAAAAGAATTAAACCGGTGAATAGTGACACACTTTGTCTTAGATGGGTCAGAAGGTCGAAAAGGGGATATAATAAAAAAACTTTTTATAAACAATTATTTGTTCTACATTATTTCATTTAATTTTTTTAATTGATATGATTTTTACTAAATATCATATTTTGTATAAGATTACATTAATACAAAATTAATAAATTATATAAGATTTGTAATTTTTAATGAAATATTATTTAAAAAATAAATAAACCAGCTTAAAAATAAAATAATATTTTTTTAAAACCTAAATTGTAATTTACCTGATTAAATAAACTTTTATAAAAATTCAAACATAATTTGTTTATTAAATAAGGGGAAAATGTTTATCCTTTTAAATGACACAACTTATATCCTTTCACTCTCACAAAGAGGTGGGACCCACACCTTTATATTTTTTTGTTCACTCTCTCCTCCTTTATCTGTCTCTTTATTTCACTTAAAATGATACAACTTTACATCCTTTAAAATAATACACACTCTTTCCATTAAATAAATAAACCTACTTAATATTCAGTATCGCTTTTGTTAATGGGTCAGGCTGATATGGAAAAACCCCACCAACGTGATCCAACCCAAGAAACAATAGATCGGGTAGAAAAATTATAAATATTTTTTAAAAACAATTTAATCCAATCAACCCAATAAAATAATAATAAATACAAAAAGGAGCAAAATAGTATACAGAGGAAACTGTTGCAATAATCCTATGGCAACTTTCTCATCGAGCTCTGGCATATCCCTTCGAAATTTTCCTAAGTCTTCTTCTCACAAACAACAAGTAAAGCTAACATGTTGGCCCTCAGAGTCGAATAATCCATTAGCATTAAGGGGAATATCAATCTCAGCCTCAATCACAACCTCAACGTTTAAATGCTGCAAAGTGTTCAGCGAAGAGTTGAATGGGAGCGTGGTGGAAGACGAGAGCCACAGCTACATGGATGACAAGCAATTCGTGCGTTGGTTTCGTGAGACATGGCCTTACTTGTGGGCCCATCGTGGTGCCACCTTCGTTCTCATCATTTCCGGTGAAATTGTCGCTAGTCCTTTCTTGGATCCCATTCTCAAGGCACCTCCACAAATTTTCACTTTCTTTTTTAACCAATCATTCAGAAAATTAAACATAAAATTTGTCAAACATGTTTTTTTTTTTTTCGAAATAAAAATTGTTTTTTTCTTTTTTTTTTCTTCACTGCTCCGTAATAAGCTATGTAATGTGCGTTGCAGGATATAGCTTTCCTTCATCACCTGGGAATCCGGTTTGTTCTTGTTCCGGGGACCCATGTGCAAATTGACAATCTTTTGCGTGAGAGAGGTAAGTCACACTCAACATTCATGAAGAAATCATGGTTTGAATTGGTGCTAGTGGCGTAGTTTTCTTCCCTTAGTGAAAAGGAATGATTTTTCTTTTGTGACCTTATGCTATTGCCAACCCCATAAGAGAAAAATGAAGTATTAGCTAAGTGCATGACCGTTTTGTGACCTTGTTATTGTAGGGAGCCAGCCTAAGTATGTTGGTCCATATAGGATAACGGATGATGAATCTCTAGCAGCTGCAATGGAAGCAGCTGGGAGAATAAGATTGATGATTGAAGCAAAGCTTTCTCCTGGACCCTCCATTTGCAATATTCGTCGACATGGTGACAATAGTCGTTGGCATGATGTTGGTGTCAGTGTTGCCAGTGGTAACTTTCTTGCAGCCAAGGTTTGAATTTTGTTATTCAAACAGTGTGGAGAACTTGGTTTCTTTCAATTCCCTTTTTCTGTTGTTGCTGTAACAATTACATTCTTATATTCTCCCTCTGTCTTTCTGTTTTCTGTTTCTATCACTGTGTTAGAGTAAGTTTTTCAATTTTTGTTTGTTTGTTTGTTTGGCAGAGAAGAGGTGTTGTCAAAGGAATTGATTATGGGTCAACTGGGGAAGTTAAGAAAGTAGATGTTTCTCGCATGCGTGAGAGGCTTGATGGCGGTTGTATAGTTATTTTAAGCAACTTGGGCTATTCTAGCTCTGGAGAAGTATTAAATTGCAAGTATGCTTTAGAGTTTCTGATGACTACTTCTTACAACTTGAAGTTAATTGATTGCTTCCTAATGTATATTCTGTTATAACATTTTTGTAATTTCTGATTTTTCATATCTGGTATGTTTCAGTTTCATGCTCTATTATTTGTGTTTCTTATAGAAAGGCTCAATCTTTTATACCACACATACCTTCAATTAGGGGGTCAGCCATGGCCCACTTGTAAGGTTACCGGGTTAGACTTTATAGTCGCAGGTCAGCCTCTCCTCTCCCAAGAGTAAGGCCGAGTACATTTGACTGTCCCCAAACCCCACAATGGTAGAAGCCTTGTACACTGGGCCACACTTACTATATGGCTTCAATTAGATTTCCTATATCAATATCATGGAGAATATTAATATATATTTTTCAGGGCTAGTTTTTAAGGATTGGAGTCGGGAATAAATCGGTGACAAGAGCTTCATGGAGAATATGTTAGGATAAAAGAATAAAAAGAAGTTGGTTTCTTAGCAAAACAATAAAAAGAGATTATTATAAGGTTTAATGCAGTTCTATAGTACGTAGAATAAGCTGATTGCTAGAACTTGGCTTCTTGGGAAATGCAAAAGAGAAAATACTGAGAAATTAATTTACGAGTTTTTTAGTAATGGTAGAAGTCTTGGAGCAGTAGTAAGGTTGCTCCTATGTGACAAAAAGATCACGGATTCGAGTCTTGGAAACAATTACTTTGCAAAAATGCAAGGGTAAGGCTATGTACAACTGACCCTCACCCTTACCCTCGCAGAGTCAGGGAGCTTTGTGCATCGGTTTTTGCCTTTTTTTTTACCCTTTACTTACCAATGTGATTCCAATTTACACCTGTGCCAATGTGTTCAATTTCTTTAACTCTTGGATGTTGCCAACTAGTACTTGGATGTGATCCAACAGAGAAGAAAAAAATGCTTAAATACTGTATGTTGATGAATATTTGCCTTTTTCCCCTACAGTACCTATGAAGTTGCAACAGCTTGTGCCTTGGCTATAGGAGCAGACAAGCTTATATGCATTATAGATGGTCCGATACTTGACGAAAGTGGACGCCTTATTCGTTTCTTGCCTCTTCAAGAAGCAGACATGCTAATTCGTAAACGGGTTGAGGAAAGTGAAACAGCTGCTAACTATGTGAAAGCTGTTGATGAAGAAGGTTTCAATTCTCTTGGGTATAAAATTTTTAATGGGGCAGTCCATTCTCCACAGAATGGAAAACCATTTTCAGAATGGCATAATGCAACCTTTCATAATGGCATTGGTTTTGACAATGGAAATGGGCTATGGTCTGGTGAGCAAGGTTTTGCCATAGGAGGTCAGGAATGGCTAAGTCGAATGAATGGTTACCTGTCAGAACTGGCGGCTGCAGCCTTCGTTTGCAGAGTGAGTTCATGGTTCAACTTTTCCTTCTAGTCATTGATTATTTTGGTCTATATTGCCTTAGGATTTTGAGCCCACTGAAAGTCCAATTTTTTTTGAAATTACCTTTTTCTGCAAATCAGTCATCCAGACTCCAGTCACTGCATACTTAACCTGAAATTTCATTGAGAATTTGCTGGTTGAACTATGATGGCATTGTTCAAGATTCCAGTTCATACATGTTTCTCAAATATGTTACTAAAGATACCTTCTACCTTCTGCCAGGGTGGTGTTCAAAGAGTTCACTTGTTGGATGGCACTATTAGTGGAGTTCTATTGTTGGAATTGTTTAAGAGAGATGGGATGGGAACAATGGTGGCTAGGTAGGCAAACTTTTCTGTCTATCTCTGGGAATTTTTTTTAATCATGAATTATTTTGTCCAAGGGTTGGTACTTGGTAACTAACTGGTAAGAGTAATATACTAATACACGATAAGTTGTATCCTTTATTTGTCTGTCCGACTGTTTTGTTTCTTAATTGTATTTCAGTTATTAATGTTAATATATCATAATTTAGTTGGCATCATTGTGGATTTCTTGCTGGTGTCATCATATAGGTAATATCAATTAGATTCAAACTTGTTTGTAGTTGCTGATGATGAGCTGGTGATTACATGGCAGTTTGTTTATATTGAAGGGTGTAAGTATATGGGTTGGTCTCAACTTCATTTTTGAGCATTCCCCTTTTTTACCCTTTTATGAATTTATAGATTACAAAATGATAGCGGGTTAGTTTAAATAACTGGCTATCTGAGTGTTAAAGAGCACACATGCTAAATCAATTTCTGGAGAAGGGGGGGGGGGGGGGATTCCAGAGAAAAGACATGGATAAGGAAGAGAGAGGAGAGAATGAGAGATTGATTGGGAGAGAGAAGAGATTGAGAGAATAATTGGAAGGAAGTTGTAATTGCTTAATCAATTTCCATGTGATCATTGGGCTTTCTTATAGCAGAGTACACCTTGTTCAAGCATATCAAGATAAACTAGCTAATTTGGACTCTAACTAGCAGATGAATAATTTGAGATATACTAATTGAGATAGCTAGAAATGTAACTACAGATAATAAGCTAAAAAAATTGAGATAACAGTCTGAATTATATTATTTTGGTTTTGGCCTTGTTGAATCACAATATGTATCGTGTATTGTTCGTCTGTTTTCTGTATCGTGTATCATATCGAATCGCAAGATTCAGAAACATAATAAAAATATTTAAAAATATATCATACCATATAAATTGTATTTTAAGCCTCCAATTTCTCCCCCTTTGTCTGTATTGTAGCTCTTTGAAAACTACTTTAAAGAGAGACTGTTTTCTTGTGCGCAAGTCTCTAATATTTTTCAGATTTGTAACATTTTTTTAGAGACAGGAGAGATTTCCATTAATTTGATAATTAGAATATTTGTTTGATTGTTTTCTTAATTAATAATGACTTTCCAGATTCATTCTTGAATTTGGATCACAAAGTATATCTTTGCTTCCTTTCCATAATTAATAGTGACTTTTCAGATTATTATTTTTTAATTAAAAATATTGGTTTGATTTTTGAATCGTAGATTGTGATACGATACATGATTCGATACTGAATCGTATGATACAACAATTCATTATTCGATACAAGACCAATTCTGATACAAGCAACAGATACGTATCTGATACGAACCTTGGGAGAACCTCACCTCAAAAGCTTGGTCAAAAGCTAGGAGAGCCCAAAGTTCATATAAACCCCACATTAGTCACCTATATAACCAATGTGTGACTCCAAGTCCCATACATTGCAATAGGATCGTAACATTAGATACGATCCGGCCCAAGACGATATATGTACAAGAAGGATTAAAATAAAAGAATGTGGGCCCGACTTTTGCTGACTCAGCAAATCAGTTACAACAGAATGGTTGTGGAGGAAGTGGTTAAGTAGTGTGAGGAATGCTGGGAGGGGTATCTAGAATCTGGAATTGGGATTGGAACCTTGGGAGAGAGTAAAGCCTCTACAATCGCTCCACACTATCTGTTTTCAGTCATTTTCTTTCAGTTTCTATTTCCAATTATTTGTAATTTGCTTTCTTGTATCGTTGAGAAGCTGTTCTTGTTTCATATTTGTAATTCAGAAATTCCAAATGTATTAATATACCAGTATCAATATTCAGTTCACAAGTTCTTTTATGTGTTAATATTTTTGGTTTGGATTGTGTCTTTATCAATTGGTATCAGAGCATTCCACTATGTCTGTCGGCTGCAATCAAGCAGCGCTGGTGGTGACGCTGGCATTGCAGTGTTCACCCAGAGCTAGTAAAAGACTAGCGTAAAGCCAGTCCGTGTGGGCGTCGGGGCTGCGGAGCATGGTGGAATGTTACGATCTTATTGCAAGGTATGAGACTTGGAGTCCCACATTGGTTATATGGGTAACTGTTGTGGGGTTTATATGGACTTTGGGTTCTCCTACCTCTTAAGTTAGCTTTTGGGGTGAGGTTCTCTCAAGGTTCGTATAAGTATTACTCACCTTTTGTATTGTATCGTGTATCGTGCGATACTAACAACTATGGTTTGGGCTTTTTTGCGCCGGAAATAAACTTTCAACCCTTCTGATGTAACAACACACTTATTGATCTCTACCTTGCCACCAAAATATGTCATAACCTTGAAGAAGTTTTCTGCTTTCTTTTCTTTTCAAAACCCATAAATAAATTAGCACAAAAATGATGTTTATGGGTTTTCAAATGCTGCTAGCAATAAACCATATGTGGCAGAATGTTGATGGTGTTACACATGATTAAGCTCTTTTTTTTTCTGACCTCTTTTCGTTTTAGCAATTTTTATCTTGGAAAGCCTTTATTTTCATTTGCTTGCTTTTCAATTAATTTTTGCAGTGACCTTTATGAAGGCACCCGAATGGCTCAAGTAACAGATATTACTGGAATAAAACAAATTATCCAGCCTTTGGAGGAGTCTGGCATATTGGTTAAGCGGACTGATGAAGAGGTTTGCTTAACTTCTTTTGATATCTTCTTCATAGCTATTATAGAGGTAATAGCTCTTATAGCCATTACGGGTAATTTGCTCAAAAAGTCTCTTATGTTTGACCATTTGTGTTTATAGCTTCTTCAATCGTTGGGTTCCTTCATTGTTGTGGAAAGAGAAGGACAAATAATTGCTTGTGCTGCACTTTTTCCTTTCTTTGAGGAGAACTGTGCAGAGGTTGCTGCAATTGCAGTATCTCCTGATTGCCGAGGCCAAGGACAGGGAGACAAGTTGCTTGGTATGTGATACAGATCTCTTCCCATTTAACAACAATTATAAACAAACAAAAATGATTTGTCTGAATAACATCAGTTTTCTTGTTATAAATTGCTCAAAAGGAAATTACAATAGCAACACTCACTCAACTATGGAGTCAAGCTGCACTAATTTGATGGAATTAAACTGAAAGATAATGGCAGAAAACTAAAGATAATGTGCAACAATTATAGAGGTTACACTCTCTCCCAATCCCAATAAGGGCCAATACAAGATTCTCTCCTTTTTCTCCCCCATTGCTTCTCCACGCCTCTGTTTATAACTGCCTCCCATGTATCTCCCCGCTCCCCATTCTGTTACGGGGTATTTGTGGCATTCTCTACTTGACGTGGGAGTTCTGTTGCAATGCTTACTTGATTCCTTTGTTGGGCCATCAGTCTAGGATCTACTTGAGTCCTTTGGGCTTGGGCTTGACTCCACACCTTCCTTTCTTTATCCCTTTTATATTGCTTAATCTGAATTGTATCAATACTTCCCCCCATTTGAAGAACCTTGTCCTCAAGGTTGAACTGTGGAAATTGAAGATTGATGACTTCAAATTCCTCCCAAGAGCTTTCGAATTCAGGTAAGTGTCTCCATCGAATCAGCACTTGAAGAATACCCTGCACCGAACGCCTCACATCCAGCAATGCTTCAGGTTCCATGATGAGTTCCCAATCTGCATTTAAAATGACGGGAAGTGGTTGTACTGTGGAACCGGTCTTTAGAGCTTTTTTAAGGAGGCTTACATGAAACACAGGATGGACTTTACAATCATTGGGTAACATAAGTCTGTAAGCAGTCTCCCCAATCCGTTCCAGCACTTGATAAAGGCCATAAAAACGCGGACTAAGTTTCTCATTGATCTTCCTAGCAATTGTTTTGAGGCGATATGGCTGTAGTTTAAGATAAACCCAATCACCTACCAAAAAAACCAGGTTCCTCCGATGCTGATCTGCATAGTGTTTCATCCTATCTTGGGCCTTGAGAAGATGATGTTGCAAATCATGCAGAATCATGTCTCTCTCTTGGAGGGACTGGGAAACCGCATCTACAGCAGGGATGAAAGTACCACATTTGAAGAGAGTAGGGGGATCCCTGCCATACAAGCCATTGAAAGGAGTCATACTCATCGCATCTTTAAAAGTGGTGTTATACCAAAATTCAGCCCAATGTATCCATGAAGGCCAAAGTTTGGGCTTAGTGCAACAGAAACAACGGAGATAGGCTTCTAAACACCGGTTTACTACCTCCGTTTGACCATTAGTTTGCGGATGGTAAGCGGTACTGTAATGTAACTTGGTACCCGCACTTTTGAACATTTCAGCCCAAAAATTACTGAGAAACACCCGGTCTCTATCAGATGTAATAGTAGTAGGGAACCCATGGAGATGAACTATCTCTCTTATGAACAACTCAGCAACATCCTTGGCTGTATAAGGGTGCTTTAGCGGAAGGAAGTGAGCATATTTTGTTAACCGATCCACTACAACCAAGATTGTGTCCACCCCCATTGCTTTAGGCAAGCCACCAATAAAATCAAGTGAGATATCCTCCCACACTTTGGTAGGAATTGGTAAGGGCTGAAGCAAGCCAGCTGGAGTTAAATTCTGGACCTTACACTGCTGACAAATGTCACACTCAGCCACATAATGCTTAATATCTCTTCTCATCCCTTCCCAATAAACCACCCCCTCCAACCTCTTATAAGTACGGAAAAATCCAGAATGTCCTCCCACTCCGGTATCATGGTATTCTTGCAGAAGTGGAGTAATAAATGTTGAACCCTTGGGTAACACTAATCTGTCATTGTAAAACAACTTCCCTTCCCTCACTATAAATCCATCATAAGCCTCCGGAGCCACCAGGAGATCTTGTAAAATGCCTTTGAGCTTAGGATCCTGCTGAATTTCAGCTTCTAATTCATCAAATTCTGCCCATTGGATTCTGGAAATCACCCCAAAAAACATTTGCCTAGACAAAGCATCTGCAACCAAATTATTCTTCCCTGGCTGGTATTGAATCTCAAAATCAAAGCCCATCAATTTAGAGATCCATTTTTGTTGTCAAAACCAGCTGCTTCGTGAGGAATTTCAGGCTGCGTTGATCCGTCTTAATGACAAAATGCCTCCCCATCAAATAATGCCTCCACTTTTGGACAGCAAAGACTATTGCCATCAATTCTTTTTCATAAATCGATTTAGCTTGGGCCCGACTAGAGAACCCTTGACTCAGGTACGCAATAGGCCTGCCATCTTGCATCAAAACTACCCCAATACCTTTCCCAGAAGCATCAGTGGTAACTGTAAACATTTTGTTGAAATTCGGTAAAGCCAAAACCGGCAGTGAACTCATCATTGTTTTTAAAAGCTGAAAGGAATTTTCTGCCTCCTCATCCCATGTGAAACTATCCTTCTTCAAACCCTCCGTAAGAGGCTTAGCAATTTTCCCATAGTCCTTAACAAATCTTTGGTAGTATCCGGTGAGTCCTAAGAACCCTCTCAACCCCTTAATATTTTTTGGGCTGGGCCATGACATCATGGCAGTGATTTTTTCCGGATCTGCCATAACCCTTTCTGCTGAAACACAGTGTCCCAAATACTCTATATGCCTCCTGCCAAAACTGCACTTTTTTTTGTTTGCCACCAAAATATTTTGTTTCCACACTGTTAGAATAGCCCTTAAATGGACAATGTGCTCTCTCTGTTTGTGGCTGTAAACTAATTGTAGAATATGTAGAATATTCTAGATAGTATTTATTGATGTAGTTGGTAGTTGTATATTTATTGATGTAGTTGGAGGTTGCATATTTATTAAAGTAGTTGAGGTAGTTGGATGTACTCAATATAAAAAGGACCCATTGGGTCTCTCAATGAATCAAGAAAGTATTATTCAGATAAAACACTTCTTCCACTTCTTCTTTTCATTCATGGTATCAGAGCTGGTTATATTCCAGTCTCTTCCCCGTTCTGATTTATTTTTAAGTCATTTTTCTATTCCTTTTTTTTTTCGTTTTAGCCACTACCCAAGCCAGAATCCTTACCTAGACACCTCCAACCACGAAACCAAGGCCACTATTAGGTTCAGAACAAAATTCCGAGCCAGCCCACAGAAGACCCGTGGCAGTACTGTTCATCACTGTAGCAATTACTGTTTCACTGTGGCCAACCCTCTTCTTGTTTTGAGGGTCAAAATCGTATTTGGAGGAACTTTTTTCTGGGTACCTGTTAGAAAGCCATGGATGCTGGAAATTCTGAAATTTCGTCTGGAACCTCGCCCCTTCCCAACTCTTCGTCTTCTGGAGACAACCCAGCAATGCAGATCACCAGTCACCGTTTAAACGGTAGGAACTATGTGCAATGGTGTCAATCTGTTAAGTTGTTTATCCAGGCTAAAAGGAAGATGGGGTATCTCGACGGAAAAAAGGTAAAACTAGCAGAACGTGAACCTGGTTATGATGCTTGGGTGACTGAAAATGCTTTAGTCATGACATGGCTGACTAATTCTATGGAACCAGATATCAGTCAAACTTATTTATTTCTTGATACAGCTCACGAGATTTGGGAAGCTGTTAAAGAATATTACTCTGACCTGGGCAATGCATCTCAGGCTTTTGATCTCAACACCAAGGTGAAAGAATTACGCCAAGAAGGGATGATTGTTACTGAATACTTCCTTGCTCTAAAAATACTATGGCAAGAGTTAGATCTTTATGATAAAGTAGACCTTCAAGGTTTAGAAGCTAATGCAAGGTTCAAAAATTATATAGAGAAAAGGCGTCTCTATGATTTTCTTGTTGGCCTTAATTCTGATCTGGATGATGTTCGTGGAAGAATTTTGGGACAAAACCCATTACCTTCCCTTGCTACTGCTTTTTCTGAAGTACGAAGGGAGGAGCTTCGCCGAAAGGTAATGTTGGGTGATAAGGACTCCAAGTCCTGTGATGGGTCTGCCCTTATAGCAAAGAATACTGTTCGTCTTTCTGGGGACTCAAAACGTTCTGACCGTTGGTGTTCTTATTGCAATAAGGGTGGTCACACCCGTGAAAAATGTTGGGAAATTCATGGAAAACCACCAAACTGGAAACCAAAAGGACAGTACAAGAATCGTGCTAATCAAGTATCTTCCGAAGATAAAGGGGAGGTGTCTCATGTCCCTTCAAACCTTGATGGTGTTTTCCTCTCCAAGGCCCAGTATGAGCAATTTCAGAAACTGATATCTCAACCTGCCGAGGCAACTAGTCATGTGGCTCAAAAAGGTATGGCATTCCATGTTGAACGTAGTAATCGTTGGATCCTTGATTCAGGGGCCTTTGATCACATGACAGGTAATGCAACCTTATTTTTCTCCTATACCCCTTACTATCACCCGTCACGAATAAAAACTGCTGATGGGAATTTTTCCAATATTGCGGGGAAGGAATCCATTAAACTTTCTGAGCATATTATTTTGAATTCAGTCCTTCATGTTCCCTCTCTTACCTGTAACCTCATCTCAATTAGCAAACTTACTGCTGAGTTGCATTGTGTTGCTAAGTTCTCTGCAAATGCTTGTACCTTTCAGGAACAGGACTCGGGGACGATGATTGGCAGTGCTAGAGAGGAAGAAGGGCTCTACTATTTTAAAGAGGATCCTTGTGAAAGGAGGATTTTTTCAAACCACTCTTTATGTTTATCAGATGATTGTAATGATGTTTTGTTATGGCATCGTAGGTTAGGACACCAAAATTTCGTCTATCTTCAGAAGTTATTCTCGAACTTGTTCATCAATAAAAAGCCAAGTTCCCTTCTTTGTGATATTTGTCAGCTTGCAAAGCATTCTCGTGCCACTTATTCCCCTAAAAAATATCATGAATCTTCTCCCTTTACATTGATTCATAGTGATATTTGGGGACCTGCTCGTGAAAAAAATGTCTCGGGTGCTCGTTGGTTTATTACTTTCATTGATGATCATTCTAGGGTATGTTGGGTATACCTCTTGAAA